TGTCTGTCAGCATTCTGGCATTTACTGGTAGGAGCGTTCAATACAATACCTGCTCTACTTTGATAAAGTGAGAATATAATCCCAAGGAAGAAGCCGAATCCCTGCTCAGTCTCACACCTGTAACTAAGGCCCGAGCCTTAGTTCAGCGGCAGCACACACTCTCCTGGAATGTGCTACCTAGAAACAAGCAGACCCCAAACACTGATAAGGTTGTCATGGAGAGAGAGCTACATTCCAATCTTAACCCAGCCTCTGCTGGGATGGGTGGATTCCAATTCTACCAGGCCTCATTCATTTCTGCATGCACTCTTTCCATTAAGACGTCCGGAAAGATGAGATACTGGCCCAGCAAGATAAGTGGCTGAGAAGCTGTGTGTGTTCAGGCTCTGTTGGGTCTCACTGAGGAGAACATGAAAAGTCTCCCTTCTCCTCCCTGCCCGTTCTCTATAGGGACAGGTTCTCACATAGCTAAAACTGTCACATACATTTTTCAAAATCTACTCTTAGTGATGGTTCTTAAACACTATAACCTCCCTTCCAGTCCACCACCCATCAAAGGTAGTGGAAAACAAATGTTAATATGACACAGGGGAAGTGGACCTGTTTAGAAATGGTTCTTTGGAGAAAATCCCATCTGTGTTGTCAGGAAATCAGCAGTTCAGTTCACAGGATTCAGCAGCTTGATCCACTCACAAACATTGTAAGGATAGACTAGCAGTCTAGCTCAGTAGTGTTGGGATAGCAGTAGCTGTGGCACGACCCAGCAGGAACAGCCAGCCCTCAGCAGAATCGGCATGAGCCAGTGAGGAATTAGAACCACTAGGGACATCAAAGAAGTTCTTGGCTGTGTCTCTCTCAGGGAAGCAAAGATGATCGCAGACACAAGACCAAGAATCATTGCAAAGCTAGCTTTATAAGCAAGCCCTTCTTATAGTCAGTTGAGTCCTATTTATACTCCCTCCAAACATCATGTATTCTCCATGGGTCTTGTCTCACATGTCTTGCCTCAGCATGTGAGTCTGTCTTAACAAAACTCCAGATCTGTCCATATCAGCTGACATCATTCTGCCAATCGGCCTGAGTCCAAGGAAGTGGCAAGAAGCTGACAGCACACCACCAGAAGTTTTTTGATGAGTTTCTCTCTATGGAGTCATGACAAATGTAGCTCAACAATGTATGTAAGGTGAACCAGTACATGTGTGTCGTTAGCAAAGAATCCTCCATCATGTGTCCTTTCATGTGTTCCCTTTTGCCTGGGTCCTCCTCAGAAACATTCCTTCACGTGTTTGCTCCAGCAAAACATCAGCCCTGGACACAACTGACTTTCCAAAGAACCCTTAAGTTTCCATTTCATAAGGCTACCTTTGAACTTGCTTTGTAGATGAGAGTCACCTTGAACTTCTGATCCTCCTGTCTCTACTTCCCGAGTGTTGGGATTATGGGTATACACAACCACACCTAGTTTTATGTAGCGCTGGGGGCTGATCCTAGAGCTTGACATGTTTGGTAAGCACTCTACCAACTGAGCCGGCAATTTCTTACAGTTCGATTCAGCAGGGAAAGACCAGCGACAACATGAGAGACCACGTTTGACCCTGGCCATGAGCTCTGCTCAGCCTTAGCAGCCCTCTCCTCTGCTCTGCCTTTAATCTGTTGTGTCATTATTAGATTTTTTTTTTTTTTTTTTTTTTTTTTTTTTTTTTTTTTTTTAGTCATGCAAGTCTCCTTTTCTATTTGTTGTCTTCCCCTATGGTTGGCCTCAGTTTGTGATTCTCCTGCCTCAGCCTCCTAAATGCTAGGATCAGAGGTGCATGCTATTCTACCTAGCTAATACATCATAGAAACTGCATAAAGCATCATAGAAATAATATTTTGCCGTTTATTTTCATTTTTGTTTTTGAGGCATGGTTCCTCTTTGTAGCCTTGGCTGTCTCGGTGCTCACTATGTAAATCAGGCTGGCTTTGAACACGGGGAGATCCACTTGCCTCTGCCTCCTGAGCGCTGGTATTAAAGGTGTATACCATCATGCCTAGTTGTTATCTTGCTTTGTAATGTCACCACAGAGGTCATTTTATATTATTACATCTTATTTTGAAAAAACGATCTGTGTGTGTGTGTTTGCATATGAGTGCAATGTCTGTAGCGATCAGAAGAAGGCAACAGATGCCCTGGAGCTGGAGCGATCTGTGGTCATGAGCCGCCTGATGTGGGTGCTGGGAATGGAACTTGGGTCTTCTGCAAGAGCAGTATGCTCTCTTAGCTGCTCCGCGTTCCTCCAGCCGTTTCTTCCTGTTCATAACTGTCACGTTATTAGCAGTGCTGCATAACTGGGAAGACGGTATTTTTGATATAGAAGTGTATGTCCCCTGGCCTCATTTTATATTCCCATGCTGTCATTTAATACGGCCCGGGTATCGTGTTGTTTATTTGGTTACCAGCATTAGAGCCCTCCTATCAGGTAGGGTGGGCGTAGTGACGTGGGAGTGTTGTAAAGCGATGGTCCTGTCCTTTGTCTGAAGTGTGGCTGTTGGACTGTCCTGTGGGTAGACTGAGTCTGAAGTGTGCCTGCTCAGAGAACCGGAAGTGACCACCACACATGGGTGTACTCCAGCTTCTTCCTTGCTGCACGTGCTTTTCAGCAGTGCAAACTCCGAAGCCTTTCTCTCCCCATCAGCTTTCACCAGCCAGTGGGAAGCTTCTTGATGGTTGGTCAGGGTTCAAACCCCGAACCGAGCCATGGAACCATGGAGAGCAGTTCAGAGACACGCCTCCCCGCTCGCCCCGCCCCCAGGGACCTAGGAAATGGGACCCTGCTTTGCATAACCTCCCTTACTAAATATTTTAGAACCTTAACTGGTCAAGCAGCATTCTTTTTGGGCACCAACGTCTGCATTAGGGAGTTAAATAGACATTATCATCCTGAGATACAAGCACTGCGGTACAGTTTCTCTGCGTGCTTTATCTGCTCCTTCGGAGAAAAGATAAAAAGTCCTGGCTTACGGAAATCAGTATTCTCAGGCGGCATCTGGTGGTTCTGCCTCCGCAAGCTTGAAATTTGGCCACTTTCTTTTTTGTTATTGGTACAGCTCTCCTTTGTTATGTCTGTCATTTGCCTGTTTTAAGAAAAAATGATCCCTTTTGCATGTAGTAAAAGAGTTCAGATGTCTCTGGAAGAACCCAAATGTCAACACTTAGCAAGTATTTACAAGTGTTCACAGACAGCTCTGACATGCAGGTGGAGGAGCTGGTTACAAAGTATTTGGAGCAAGTTCTGTCAGGGGCTCAGGCACCAGTGGCATTTTACTCTGGGTTTGGCTTTTCTGCGATGCCCAATGTTGCTTGTCTCGTAATCATAATACCTAGCCTTTGTGCCAGTCTCTGCCATACTAAGGCCATTAAACATACTTTCTAATTTAGACTATGTGAGATAGGTATCGTTAGTGTACCCACTGTACAGATAAGGAAAATGAGATTCCAGGTTCAGTATTTGCATAAATATTGGCAAAGAGTTAATTTGTAAACTGACATTCTCTTCGTTATTATTATTATTTTTTTAAATCTTTTTATTCTTTGTGAATTTCACATCTGTAATGGCCCGTTCCTTTGTAAGGGCCCGTTCTGCTGCTCCGGTTCTGCTGCTCAGACATAGAGTCTGATCAAGTCTCCTTTATTCAAAGGAAATCCTGGGTATTTATACCCTTTACCACGTGCAGTGTGGATATCACGTGCGCCTAACTGCTGGCGGCACTAAACAGCAAAACAAGATGTTTATCAGAGTGTGCTCAGCTGTTGCGGGCTGTTGAAAACAAGTCTCTTGTCAGGGTATATGGCTCGAGATGGCTGTAAAGATGGTAGCCGCTTTCAGCTAAGAGTCGGCTCCCAACACACATCATGTACCCCAATCCTTTTCTTCTCCCCCTTCCTCCACATCTGCCCTCCGCCCTTGCAACCTCCTCCCCAAAAGAAAACAAAAACTAAAAACTAGACTAAAATAAAAAACCCAAACAAAGAAACGAAAACATCCCAAAGCCACAAAAACATCTCATATTGAAGCTACAGCGTGTTACAATGTGTCCCACAGGATGTCACACAGTGTGTTACAGTGTGTCACACAGTATGCCCTTTTGTCCAAACATCTCTGCTCACAAATGTTCATTGCAATGAGTCATTGGTCTGGTCAAGCCCTCTGGCTTTTGTTGCACTGTCAATCCTGGATCCTCACTGGGTTGCCAAGGTGGATAGCCTGTTCTTGCTATGTCGTGGAGATCCTGCAACTTTGGTTCTTCAGGGCCAGCCCTTTCATGATCTCCAGCAGTTTATACATAGGGTAGATGTTGTTGTGGACCAACTCAAAGCCCTGGATCTGGGTCTGGGTGGTAGCTGAGTTCATTAGCCAGCCTGATTTCCTGCACCTATATTATCAGGGTCAGCTCTCCCTCTTTGCTTAGATGAGGAGCGGGGCCATCTCTGCATGACCCCCAGGCAGCTCACACCAGGGACTCTCTGCACCCACACCATCAGGGTCAGCTCTCCCTCTTTTCTCAGGTGGCAGCTCACAGCAAGGACTTCTGAATAGCCTTTAGTGATAACATGGGCCACACATACCCCTTGCTACAAAACTACAGACCCAGACTTGGCCCTAGGCAGCAGCATGGGTCAGAATATCACTGTGGCCTCAGGTGGCAGAGCAGGCTACTCACGACAGGTTGTTCCTCACCAACCTTGAGTCTCCAGTTCTGCCTCTCCTCATAGAGCACAAACCTTTCTGCTTCTCTTTGTCTCCCACTTCTTTAACGCATTGTACCAGAGCCTGCTTGTCACATGGTAGGGGTGGGCCTCTGGGTGTCTTCTGTCCCTCCTGAAACCTGTGGCAGCAGGCAGAGGCCGCCCCTTCTTTAATATTTTGGTGAATCTCAATTCTAATTGATTCTCCTCCTCCTCCTCCTCCTCTTCCTCCTCTTCTTCTTCCTCCTCTTCCTCCTCTTCCTCTTTCTCCTCTTTCTCCTCTTTCTCCTCCTCTTCTTCGTCCTCTTTTTTTGTGTGTGCTGGAGATAAAACAAAAACAAAACAAAACAAAAAAACCACAAAGGCCTCCTGCATACTAAATAAATACTCTAATATTGAGCTCTACATACCACAAGCCCTGATCATGATTATTTAAAATATCTCAAAAACTGATGACTTGTGTTCCTCCTTAACACAGAGCTTCTGTTTGCAATGTCTGTTTGCTAGGCCTTGTGGGGCTTGGATGCCAGGGTCAGAGGAAAGTGAGAGTGAGCAGTGCTAGCCTGTCTAGAAGTGTAAGCCTACAAAATAGCTGGGAGAATGTTTCTCACCATTAAAGAGGACTCCTTTGGGTTGTTGTACAAAGCAATGGGTTTCATCATGGCAACGTCATACTTTTACGTCAGTAAACTTTATTCTCATTTGTATCGCCCGTCCCCTCTCATGCTCAATTTCTCTGCTGCTCCAGATGGTTGCCTTCCTTCCCAGAGGTAGTTCCAGATTCTTCTTTCTTATCACAGACATTCCATTGTCTCTATTTCCCACCTCCCTTGAGATCTCTTCCTCTCCTTCCACGAGCTCACTCCCGATTTCAACACACTCTCTCTCTCTCTCTCTCTCTCTCTCTCTCTCTCTCTCTCTCTCTCTTATATGTACACATCTATACATCCATACACACATACACACATATGTATACTTTTCAGTCTCTTCTGGGGGATGGATTAGTGGTTAAGAACACTTTATGTACAGTGTTGTGGAGCAGAGTTTGTGACCTAGCACCCATGCAGCAGGACAGGTTTCCTGCACATACCTGTAATCCCAGCTCCAGGGATGAAGGATGGAGATGGGAAGATGGCTGGAGCTTGCTGCATTCTAGCCTAGCTGAGAACTTGGGAGCCCCAGGCTCAGGGAGAGACCCTGCCTAAAAGGAGCAGATAGAAGGAGGTCAAGGAGGAAACCGGTTACATTCTTCTGTCCTTTTTGTCATGTGTAGGCATAAACACCTGTACACACACACACACACACACACACACACACACACACTAAATAAGTTGATAAGTTTAGGTTATGCATAGAGAGAAAACATGTAGCATTTGTCCGGGTCTGGTTTATTTCCCTTAACATGGTGCTCTCCAGTCTCATCCATTTCCCTGGTTTCATCTTCTTTAATTATTGAATATAATTAGAACTGAAAGAGCTGAAAGGGTTTGCAACCCTACAGGAAGAACAACAGTATCACCCAACCAGACCCCTCAGAGTTCCCAAGGACTAAACCACCAACCAAAGAGTACACATGGAGGGACCCATGGCTGCAGCTGCATATGTAGCACAGGATGGCTTTATCTGGCATCAATGGGAGGGGAGGCCCTTGGTCCTGTAAAGGATTGATGCCCTAGTGTAGGGGTATGCTAGGGCAGTGAGGCAGGAGTGAATGGGTGAGTGGGGGAGCACCCTCATAGAAACAGGGGGGAGGGGGTTGGGATAGGGGATTTGTGGAGGGGAAACTGAGGAGGGGGATAACATTTGAAGTGTAAATAAACAAAGTAACCAATAAAAAATTGGATATAATTCTACTGTGTATATGTGTCACGCTTTACCTATCTATCCACTCGCTGGTAGGCAAACTCCATTTCATGGCTTTTGTGGATAGCGGATTAGTGGCCAGATATGCAACCAGCTCTGTGGTATATTGACTTTCAGATCTTTGGTGAATACCTAATTGTATAACTGGGTCATATGATAGCTCTGTTGTAATAAAAAATTATTTAATTATTCTTATTAGTGTGGGACGGATCACTTGGTGCACATGTGGAAGTCAGAAGACCAACTTTGGGGATGTGGTTTCCTCCTTCCACAGTGGTTATAGGCATCAGTCAGGTCGGCAGGCGTGTGTGTGTGTGTGTGTGTGTGTGTGTGTGTGTGTAGTAAGTAGTGTCTCACTAGTCCCTGCTCTCAGGTTCCTGAGGAAACTCCATACTGATTTCCATAGTGGCTACTTTATTGTATACTCCCACCAGCAGTGATCCATGGCTCCCTTTCTCAACATCCTCTCTAGCATGGGTTTTCCTGAGAGCAGCCATTCTGACTGGAGTGAGATGGAATCTCAAAGCAGTACTACTTCACATTTCCTGGATGGCTAGGGACATCGAACACCTTTAAAAATACTTGTATTTCTTCCGTCAAGCGCTGCCTATTCTGCTTGTTAGCCACTTACTGATTGGCTGACTGGGGCCTCCGTGTTTTCTCTCTGCAGATCTTTATATATCCTAGACAGACAAATATCGGTTGTGTAGTTGACAAAGACAAAAGAAGTTTTAATAGTGAGGTACGTATCCTAGAGATAACAGCTGGATCTAGGTTCTTAATCCAGTCCTCTAGTCTGTGTCTTCAGAGTGAGCTGAGGCCAGCTGCACTTAAAGTTAACCCTGACAGCTGTTTAGCGATTCCTGTAGTGCTGGTTGTCTTCTGATCTGTTGTTTGTGGTTTATTCTCTGCTGTTCCTCTGTTGTCATCCTGACTTTGCTGGATGCTGTGTTGGACACAGTAGACTCCTTCTAAGCTATTCTCTTCATTTTGATAGAACGTGAAATGGGGAGGTTCTGTGGAGGCAGCTATGTACAGCACAAATAAATGCTGTATTTATTCTTCAGATTCGTTGGGTTTGAGATAGGTTTTCACACTGTATCCCAGGTGACCTTGAACTCTTGTAATTCTCCTGCTGGGGTTACAAGCTACCCTGCCAGGTAACCTCCGGATCCTCAAAGGATGTATTCAAACATCAAGAATATGATGCCCAAGGGGCTGGGCAGATGGCTCTGTGGTTAAGAACTCTGGCTGCTCTTCCAGAGAGGACTTGAGGTCAATTCCCAGCACCCACATGGTGACTCACAGTCCCAGAGGATACAATGCTCTCCTCTGGCACCAAGTATACATGTAGTGCACAGACATACATACAGACAAAACATTCATACATATAAAATAAAACATTTTTTAGAAAAGCCTATGTTTTAAATTCTTTTTTCTGGGTGGAGGACACAGAACAGGTGGAGTGTAGGATCTGAGTGATATGAATGGACAGCTAATGTGTGGAGTCAGTCCTGGTGGCCCCCACTGCTGGTGCAGGAGAGAGATGCACATTGTTGTGCTTGCCCTGTGTGTGTGTGTATGTGTGTGTGTGTGCATGCATGTGTGTATGTGTGTGTGCGTGCATGTATGTGTATGTCTGTATGTGTATATGTGTGTATGTGCATGTATGTGT